ATTTTAAATATTGTGATAAGACGGATTAAAATAAATAATTGTTTATAGTATTTAGCAAAACTTGACAGTGGGGAGTATTTCTTGACAAGCCAATAGCCAAGAAATTAACCATTTGTTGAAACTCATACGTTAATTATGGTGCACACAAGAGTCTGTCGCCGGACCCTATCCTGAGTCGGTTAAAATCCACACTCTCACACCTAATTTCGTTAAGCTCCACTTTACCATAATCCGCACACCTAAACTGAAGCCTCCTCCATATAAGTTTTCCAACAAAAGACTTTCATGCATGTTTTATTTCTCCCATGTGTGCTGCAAGCCCAACTCATCTCATTCTCCTTCATTTATCATGCTAATAACATATTGTGAACAGTAACAAATTATGAATCTCCAAGCACAATTTTTCCATCCTACCTTTATTCCTATTTTTCAAGTCCAAATATTCTCTCCAACACTTCATTCTTTTTGGTACTCTACACTTCTGAAGGAGAATGTATATAGACAACTTCATTTAATTTCAACACAGTATAAGAAAGTGACATTGAAGGGTAATACAAAAAAGCAAACATGGTTTTCCATGCAGAACTCACATAAATCCCACATTCGTGTTGAACAGAATTCTAGTCCTTCAAATCTGATGCCATTAATCTTAAATTTAGGTATTGTAAGTCTATACCCTACATCAGAATGTATTTCAGATCACTGGTTGGTTTATTTAATTTCTTGGAAAAACATTACTTCATTCTAGATACATTAAATTTGTCAAATAGAATCTCAAAGTTCAGGACAGTAACCATATTTGTAACTGTTTATTTATAAACAATATTTCGTGCTGTGGGTATGTCTATTATCAATCTCCATACAAAATTTCACATGGCTAGCTCCAATGTTTCAATAATTCCATCAAAGTAAAAACAAAAGAAACATAACGCATATTGCATTTTCCTTAAAAAAAGCAATGTGGGTTAAATATGGGAGAAATGCAGCAGATAAGGAAGGGACTTTGTTATATGAATGAAAGAGGCGATATAATGTTTTGAACTGTCAACGAACTTCTATGGAATGGCGGATACAGGCAGATGGCCTTTTTAAAACGATATATCCCATTCATTTTAAACTTTAGGATAACACGAAAACCTCACACATAATTGCTAGCAATATTTCTACACGTGCTTTTCATGGTATGCAACACGAACGTAAACAGGTTTATGGAAGTTCACGTACACAGGTTGGCAGCTTTGAAACCGAGTAACACAGGGATTCGCATCAGCTGATTACGAGGCCAGTGCTTGAGCCGGGGGACAGTATGCTATTACAATGCATTGTGCATTTTACTGCCACAGAACCTAAGGCAAATTTTTGTTCTACGCATAAGTGGGTGCGAGCCATTTCAAATTGTCGGCACCTGTATTTATCTCATTACAGCTAGTCTGTAAAATTGTATTGGCGTTTAAATTTTCCACAAACTGCAACAGTTTACATATATTCAGCATCAAAAAAGGATTCAAAATGCCAATGATTAAGTCTATTAGAACGAATGAAGGTCACAACCGACACCACAGATTTTATATGTTCGAACTTCAAAGTTTTTACGCAAAGCGACTGCTGATGTATGATGCTGTGAACTTCTGTGTAAAATTACAAATTCTGATTGTCCATTTCTTGCCAAGTTTACCCATCAAACCTATTTTCTAGCTCCGTCTGTTGTCACCCCATCTAGTTTTGTCAGCAGCAGCCAAAGTTCATTTATGGGGACCACAAATGGGTGTCACCGACCGCAGGTTGATTGCTCCTTCCTTAAAGGCATTCATACTGAAATTGTGGCATAGACGTGGTCGAATGCAAAAAATCGATCTTTTCTTTTCTTTTTAATTTCCTATAGGTTAAAGAAGCAGAAGGAGCAAGCAATACAACTGCCTCAGGGTACTCATATACGAGAGTATTTCGTTACGCAATTCACTGCAAATAAATTACATTTTCTGTACGGTATTCACTTGGTACTGATGACTGCCCCTTCTCCCCCACACACCTCGATTAAATTAAACAAAGCGACGAGTTATTTTTAGAATGCCCAACACAGCAGACACTGTGTATCAGCCGCGTTTAAAGAAAAACAAGTAACGCGCGATGCACTTTTGCCACACGTGCAGACGAAACGGATTGGTCTTGGATGTCCTCGCCATTTTGAAACATATGACTCACGCCAACCGTTTCTCAACCAGATATCCGCCAAATCTATAGATTCACTTATTACACGGGGTGTTTTTGTTTACATGTAATCTGTAGATGGACGCAGACACTTGCTTTGTGGATAGTCTGTCGGCGATGACACATTTCCAGACCGATTATGGGTTAGTATTCAACTGTACGAAAGTATGAAATAGAATAACGAATTTTCGCACAAAAAAGTTACGTAAAAGTCGATCTTGACTGCGTATGTCGCAGAAAATTTCAACAAAAATTTCCTGTTGCTTATATAAAAAAAATATGGGTTCGGTACTGACAGGAAAATAAAAGAAGACGCCATGTATTGAATGAAGTAAAACTTGGTGATGCTGGTATAAGACTGGAGAATTCGCCAAGAAAATCACTGGCAAATCTTGCCCAGCTAACTAACAATGGCACAGCTAGTCAACAAAGGCATCTTTAATGGACAGAAAACGTGTTCAAACGAACCTGCCACTGCACGTCCCAAGTTCTTTGCCCTATCCGACATTTCTTTATTATGATGAGCTGGAAACCCCCAAGGACCACCTAACCTCATCGGTTGTCCACGACTCTTCTTATTCAGTATCACAGATGATAACAACAAACGGTGTTTCCACTGTTAAACCGGAACCCGTCACTTCCCGTCTCCCGGCAAGAACTGCATAACTCGCCGCCAAGCGCTTCTAGATTTTTTCCGATACGATTAAACTCATCACTACTCCATATAACAACAAAATCAGGTAATCATTTTCAAAAGGGGAGCTGAAAATGTTCCTGCGGTACATGCACACATCATCTACACCGTTTAAATAGGTTGAAATTAGCCCGAAAACGTTCTTCCTGAGGAATTTCCAAAATTACTCTTCACATGTTTTCCTTCAACTCTTCTTTTTATGGGGCCCGTTCTGTCCTTCAAATTACCCCACGAATAAAAGCCGCATGGGGGTAAGATCAGGCGAACGCCCCCTCCAAAGTCATCAAGGAATCGTCCACTGTGTGGGTAGATTCCGAAACTTCTGACGCGCCTGTCAGAATTGTTTCCGCGTAGAATATGGGCCCAACAATTCGTTCGGCATTCGATGCGCATCACAAGCCAACTTTTACGTCATGCAGAATAAATGTAGACTGACAGAACTCCACCACCGATTATCTGGAAGCAAAACATGTCCGTGGATGCTGACGATTTCAAGATGCCGGTCTCTTGTGCACGGATTAAATGATTTATGTGGTGTGCGTTCTGACCTTGTCCAAATAAACCTACCTGTTGTGCTTGAAATTGTGATCCCGGGAAATTTACAACATTTTCTCCGACACTTTCTAACGGAACGACATTTCACGTACTACTCGTACACAAAACAACAGCACGTCGAATATCTAATCATATACACACCAACAATAACCAACACTCAAACGAAGTTGTGCGAATAATTTTGACAACAGTTGCGCCTAGGGCTTGGCGAAGTCATTTGGCTCTTAACGGGGTCAAAGTGACGGCTACGTTCCGAGTTATCAGGTAACCCTAAAGCACCATCCTTCATATCTGGAGGCCGTCTCCTCCATCCACAACCCACCTGATGACACGTCATACGTACAGACAATGGAACCAGCTTACACAGCGCATGCGCTAGGGCACGCTGAAATAACTACAAATGCGAGCGAATTAAAGTCAGAACTTCAAGGCATGCGCTGACAACGACGAATTTCGTGTTCCAGTGCGTCCTTAAAAGCCCTTTCATTCCTAAAATGTGTTTCCTTTTTTGTGTGTCTTACTGGACACACTTCTCCCGTAATTCACGGAGATTTTACATTCTGAACTTACAAAAAACAATTTTTGTCAATTACGAATGGGGTAAGGCTGAGACAGGAAGCATTCGGTGATCCTTCGTGGAGATACTAATCTGTGAGAGAGAAACGAGTAACCCGCACGCCTTGCAACTGAAATCTGAACCGGAAATCTCCCGAACAGGAAGGAGTACAACAACTCTTCGCCGTAACAATATAATTAGCAGACGGTCACAGTTTGTAGGACCTGTTACTGCCAACAACCTGGTTCAGGGATCGAGGTGTAACTTTACTGCTCATAATTTTACAGTCACAAACTCAGAATAATAGGTTCCGCTCTGGCACTGCTGTTTTAAGCCAACACTTGCGTCAATAACAACCAGGCCCGTACTTACACTTCTCGGGACCCGAGGCGCCAAGCTCTTGCGGGGGGGTCCCTTTAAAGACACCCAACCCCACACCCAAGTTAATTAACAACCATTTTAATAATATTCTCCCATGTACGCCCTGGTTCCCTTCGAGATTTCTAACTAAAACGTATTCTCCCTTGTTTTTATCGCCCTAATATTCAATAAAGATTACACATCATTAAGTGTACTTATATGTATATGACTTTCACTCTAACAGACAAAATTATTTTAAATTTGTCAATAATTTATCCAGCTACTGTAAATCGAGGACGTTAATACCTTAAGATACTTTCCACTACGCACTAATACGAACCGGATACTCTACTGGTATCTATTCCTCTTTATGACATAACAAATTTATACTATTTACATCATTACGTAATTATTTATAAAATTTCAGCTTTCAATTTTACCTTTTACGTAAATTCAACTTGATTCAATCAGAAATTTTTCCCATATGGTTTAGGGAGCATTTTTTCCTTTTTTAAAATTTTTGTATCGGAGGGACCCCCCGCCCCCCTCACGGTGTGCCTCTAATTTCAAAAGTACGACAAAGTGTGCCACAGGAATAAAATGATTGCGTGCAGACTGACTCCGGGTAAGGTCCAATGGCGGGGTTTTTTTGCTGACCATATTTAAGGTAAAAAGAAAATTCTGACACTCCAGGACCGCCAACTTTCTCTAAATTTAGTACTTCGCTACGAACGGTATGTTGTCAAAGACGTACGAATTATGGCGGGGGGGGGGGACAAAGTTCGTGTGTTAGAGCAACGTGCCAAAGTGAAAATCTCGTCTCTTTCGAGAATCGAGCCCCAGATCTCGGAGTACGTCGCCAGTCACTCGGCTCTTGAAATACAGAGTGTCCCAAGAAAAAGACAAACACAGCAGTAACTTTGGTGGCCGCGTGACAGTTTTCTTTCCAAGGCATGAAAACATGAAATTACAATATGGCAGCGTACCTTGGCATTGAGTATCCTGGTTTTCTTGCCATCCATCTGAATTATAAGTTTGGCTTCCATATCTCGTTCCCTAAAACCCAAAAAGACAACAGTGAACAAGTACACGATACTTCTCGTACTCAAAACAGTTGTGGTTCTGAACCGTACAGTGGACAATTTTCCAAGGTAATCAATTAGATCAAACGCAGTGTATATTTCTGTTACAATACATTGTCTAGGAATAAAGGGATTTTTAGTTGATACAATAATATACACGTTTCTTTCAATAAGTACTCCAGACCACAATAACGACAAGGAAGTTGCATGGTTTATTTCAACTGACAATTCCCTACTACTTCCGGTTCTAGAGTGATATAAATAGAGAAATTATCATCGCATAGCCCTCCAAATTACTTTCATTATTATGTATTTTCATAACTCATAATTTATAGGAATTACACGCCAATACAACTCTCATTAAATGTTTTATTACAAACTCCTATAAGCCTCTGATATATTTTTTAAATTATAAAAACTACGATAGAAAATGTGTAATGCTTCTTTTAAATACGTAAGGTGAGACTATCATGAATCATAACTTATAACAGTTATAAGTATTTGTTATAGTGACCCTTTTTAATGCAGTAATTCCACTCTGCTAAAAGTGTCAGAACGTTCAGGCACTAAGACACTTCTTACACATACAAAGTCATAAAATTTACAGGCATGATTTTGACCTAAGCCCACACCAAGTTCCACACGCCCGGTTGCAATGGATCATTAGTTTTAAGCTAAACATGCATTTCACATGGCAGCCATGTTGTGTTCTACGTTGCGCAGTCAGCCATGTTGTGTTCTACGTTGCGCAAGAAACAATTGCCTAAAGAAAAGTATAATTTTTTCCAAGACATATTATCACACAAAAATTTTAGGACCCATTATCAAATAAAAGTGGTATTCAGAAGTTTTCACTTTCGATATCTTCGTATTCCTGATAAGTATTCAGAAGTGCAAATGGCGCGGTGTCCAGACCCAGTATCATGTCAGCAGGCTTTAAAATCTGAGGTCACAGGCTATCTGTTTCTTCCCGGAAAACTAATCTCAACTGCTCAATGGCAAAAGCGAGCTTTACATTATGCAATTATGTGAACAGTCAAAATAGTTGATACTGATCCGCACAAAATCCTCTTGTTTGTACAATAAGTACCTACACACGATGTGAAAATCGCAATGCTGAGATGCAATTAGTGCTCGGAGAATAATCGAACAAGTAAAGACGCTCTGGTACTTAAAGCCTGGGGGTCAAAACGCTGGACCAATACCTCAGTTTTCGGATGCAGGGCAGACAAACCAAGCAATAAAAATGGCCACATGGATTATTGAAGGAATTACAGGGAAATTTAAGTAAATAATAGAGGAAATTTACGAAATGGGCTGACATTATAGCCCTAACTCAAACGAAGAAAAAAGTACGGGTATGGAATAAATAAAAGAATACATAAACTTGTATAGTGAAGTCCCAAACGAGGAAAAGTTGTGAAAGGAGTATCCCTGCTTATAAAGAAAAACATATAATTAAAATTTACATGACCTTTTTAGATGCAAGAGTATTTATTGAAGACCGCTGTCTTCAGGGTTGTTTTGCTGTGTAGTCTAGTAGAAGTTTATGGACGTCTCATCGCCCTGATGATGGAGGCAGTATGACCTCTGAAACGTCCGTAAACTTCTACCAGACTACACGGCGCGACAACCCAGAAGACAGATATCTTCAGACTCGTGGCTGTTAAAACCTCAAATCCTGGTGTGTAACAAGGAAAAGAAACTTTCTTGCCATACTTGGAGATTTCAAAACACCAGAAAAACTGACTCAAAAGCTGGAAATAGTAATGCAGAGAAACCTTAATCCTATGACACAAGTTTGTTCAAATGAAAGTACTTACAATACAAACGTCAATGAAAACAAATTATAAAATGTAAGTCTGAGATGTTATTAACCACAAATCCAGCAACAAACCAAATTTTCATTACATAATTCTGAATACTTTAATAGAAAAACTGGAATTCAAATCAGTCTCTTCTTAGAGTAATAAGCTGTGAACATGTGAAGTGGATCAGAACACAGTTCAATGTGGGATTCTCTATTCCATAAAAACTAGAAATTCATTCACCAATTTAATAACTGCTCAACAAAGAGCCTACGGAGTTAGCCAGTTAGTTACTATGTTGACAGAAAACATTTATTATAAAATTCACTATCAACAAAATTACCTTCAATACCCTGTCAATAAATTAAACAAAGAAAACATTTGCCAACAATAAAAAAGCATGGAATCGTGCCACCCACCTAATCAGACAAGAGGAACACATCATCTATTTCCTAGTAAAATAAATTCCTCTCTAAAGTAGATGTGAGCCAGAAGGAATTATTTCATCTTTCATTAAAACTATTTGCTGTTAATGGATAAACGTTTTGGTTTGAGAAGCAGCTTCTTGTGTGATGTTATCCCTACATAGTACACACCTTCCTTACAGACTTAACGACTCGCAAATTCTCTATGAAAATCATGTCTGAATCTGCAAGAATGTTTGAATTTCCACTACATTAAAACTACAATAGTTCACTTCGGTGCTATAAGTCCAAAGGCTCACACTCCAAACACTGGCTAGTAGTACGCCTCATTACTTGCCAGACTACTAAAATGGGAGGAATATAAAAAGTGTGTTCTGATACATGACTCAGCAATGATTAATATTATGATTATAACTCAAAATAATTATTAGCACTACCACTACAACAATGTGGTGAAATTCTTTGGGACTTTGTCACATAAACTGAACTAAATTTTTGACCAGGATCTGCCACTTGCCCATCCCTGTCTCATCTATATAAACATACCAGGCCACAGAAACCAGCACAGCCCAATGATAAGACTGTAATGACCCAACTTGAGCATATCAGTCACCTTACATTCATTTCTTATGTCCAATGCCCTTGTATCTATTACTTAAACTGGCTCTCATAAATAACCTCACCTTTTACATTGGAATTACATGGATACAGAAGTGATTTCTGTGGCCAGAAGACTGGATTCCAATCAAAATACATGGGCACTGCTTTATGAAATAAATTCCAGTCATAACGACAAAACTAAGATTGTAATTTACAATTTTTGATTCTCTAATGTACATTATGAATACTGTTTCAAATTTAACCTGAAGCTGCAATTAACTGTCGAGAGGTCAACATCACGTAGCTTATCCTTGTTAAGTACAAATAATCGATATGACAGCCACTACTAACGAGCTGTAACATTCATTAATGTAATTGTAACTGGGTGATGAGGGCAGTTTTCAATTATTGACACTTAATGTTTTGCAGACTGGCAACTTTAAGAATTATTGTCAAGCAACTTTAAACCAGCCGGGAAGCGCTTTGTCTGCGAAGAGGCACTTACAATTTCATGCCTGTAAGGTTAATTTAAAACTGACAGCTACGACGAAGTTGCAACAAGAGATTAAACAACTACCTACCTTTGGTTGAAGGGACGAACTCGTACAGCCACTTTCACGGAAGCCATTTTCTTCACAGTTCAAAGCATTACTATAAATTATTAAATCACATTAAACATAGTCTACAAAACCAAGAGCGACAATACACAGCACACTCCCAAACGCCAGCCATTGTATATTATATGACGTCATAGAACATCAGCACAGGTATTTGGATAGATGGAAGAAGTGGGGCCAACGGCGCACTGATTTGCGAGATAATTACAGGCGGCAAAATCGCACTTCTGATGTACATGAAAGTTCTCATATTCTTATAAATTAGTAATGCTCAACCCCTTCAAAATCTGTTATCTCCTCCCAGCCAAGCAAGTCTAATATTGTTTTAATAGGGTTTTATCAATAAACAATTTCTTCCTTTAGATATACCCAATGCCCATTTGTACAGTGCATACATCAGAGCTGCATTATACAATAAAAAGCTTAACATAAAATATGAAACGTATTTACATTAATAAATTATAGAATAAGGGAAAAAGATAAAAAGTACAAAGGATTGAGTAAACAATAAAACATATAAAAATCATTGTAATCAAGATCCTTCTTTAAATCTGCTTAAATGATTGTTTATTTATAAATACAAACAAAATAATAATATCATAAAACATCCATCATATAAATGTTACAAATGGTTTTCATATCAACATTCTCTTCTTTTTCCCAGCTTCAATTTAACATTTTACAAATCACAGACTTAAGCTTGCTTTTCCTCTGCTTACTGCTTTGGGAAAATCCAAACCAAAGACAATAATATTACAATGGAGATTTTTCCATCTGGAACACCCACCAGGGGTGCGATGCAGACACTTAATACACATGTACACTTAGCTTAGCATTGTTCCAATATATCATACAGATATACAGTAGTGCTCATGATATGGGGACTCTCGTGAGCTCTTTTAAGCTGGAATACGATTCATATTTATACAGATTGAAGCCACTTTTATTTTCCAAAACTTATGATTAAAAGTTGCACTGGTATACTATTTGCTTACTCAAATTAACAATGTTGTTCAAGACAAACTATTTGAGCTTTCATGAAATTAAGTTTCACTTCAGCAAATGTGCAGATATTTCACGGCCATCAAAGTATGCCAGTGGAAAAATGCCAATAACAGAGAGATAATTATTTACTATTTAACTTGCGTTCCTTACTAACTCACTGACGCACTTTGACAGCTTTGATACATTTGCCCATTTGAGTCAGACTTGCTCCTTTTAAGGCTTTGAACAGCCACCAGACAAAAGTCCAAACAGTTTACTCATTGTACAAAATACACAATACACATAAACAGAAATTTTGAGATACATCTGAGACATCAGTTTTTAAATATATATATATATCAATTTCATACACTGTTATTTATTTCAAACCCAAACTGACTTTATCCTTTCATACATTATCCATGGATTTTTCTACCCCTGGACCAAAGTTACAAATGTAATGAAAACTGTAATATTAGTTTTCATTCATGAATAAACCTTTTTTCCAATATCAAACATCTTTAATTTTCATAAATGTGTCATGTTCAGAACTATACTTCATTATTAGACAAAAGGTCTGTTTCCATACAAAATCCCTGACTTTTGAAAACTGACAATGCATCACCGAGAAGAGTGGAATAGAAGTATTACAGTTGTCACATTCAACAGCAAAATTACAGTAAAAATGTTCCTCTTCATTAGCTGATGCTGTCCTCAGTTTGATAAGCTAATAAAAGAAAACAATAATCATATTTATAAACATAATCACAACAGAAATGTAAAGAAAGATCATACTATAAAGATAATTTCAATATACTCTGTAATGAAAAGGATGGACAGTCGTCATTCTTAAAACACAGATCATTCACAACAGTTTGTATTTTATAATCAGTAAACCAAACACAACGTAAAGACTAGGAAGTTGAAGCTTCAAACATTTTAAACAGCACAAAAAATAATTATTTTCATTTACGTCATGTGCAGGATAAAACAATTTACTGTTGCAACACACGCACTTCAAGTAAATATTTTATTAATGATTGGAACCAATACATAATGGGAATGTTCTGACTGATGGCTTAGACATTTCCATTACTTGTAGCAATATGAACATTGCACTTATTTATAAGAGGCACTACAGTCAAGTCAGTATTTTGTCATAATGTGCAACTTCAAAACTGATTACACAATTGGGACATCATTAAAGCAGTTTAGACACAGGAAACCCTTTTTATACAGCACCCTGACATACCACAGAATCTGGTACACCACAGGCACGATCACACCCCTCAGTAGCGAGAGTCTAGTGTAAATGCTGTTTTCGCTTACAATGTGGGCATTAAAACTGTACCCAACCCCTGTGGTATAATGAGGGTCTACTGTGCGAGTGAGTGCATGAATCTAAAATAAAAAATTACATTTCAAATGAGTAAAATAATTAAATATTCCGTGTTTATATACATTTTGTTATGAAAATTCCACAAGCCAGACATTTTACTTTAAAGTGGAAATTGTGTGTTTCTAAATATTGTCAAAATATCTATCGAAACATTATTGGGTTACAGTTATTTAAAATATTTCTGTTCTTCAGAGCAACTCAACCATTAATATTATTTGTATCTCAGTTACGGCCACTTCTATTATTCTGTTATTTATGAAATATACCATTCTAGAAAAAGACCTTCGTAAATATTGTTTAATTGTTTATGGTAATTATGAAGACTATTCAAATTCAGGGCCCGACTTGTACGATATGACACTCAGCTTCTTCCTAAGTTTAACCTTGTAATGACAATGTTCTCCATTTTTACCTTCACTTTTTAAGAACTTCATTATCTGTGTAATTCATACTACAATGCTCAAAGTTCATACTGTCCATTTCATATGAGAATTTCATTTCTAAGATATGAACACATGCATAACTGGCAAGAACGAGATCACCTGTGAAAGAACATGCAAAGAAATGTTCGTTATTTATCATGAACCGTAAAGTAACATAAATGAACGCTAGAACTCTTATAAAGTTTCTGTCACTCTGATACTTGCATTATATTACCTGTTCCACAGGATAATGATCGATGCTTATAAGTAAATACAGTCACGAGTGCTCAGCTGTATATAGTAAACATGATTAAACAGTTTGGAGTTATGTGTACAAGACTTTTAAACTGAAGAATTACCTACTTGATAGTGATTTGGTAAAAGATATTTTTGTATACAAATGTGAATTACAGTAACATATCCTTAACTGCACATTAAGAGATGGTGAATTAAAAAACATTATAAATAATAAATCAACATAAAATTATATCAGAAAAAATTCATATTGATAACAATTCTACATATTGATATATCATGTAATGTCTTGGTAGTATAAAATTATTCTAATTTATTTGAAAGCAATGAAAAGATCACAATTTGGTCAATTGCATAAAATCTGGAAGACAGAGTTTGGTAAGGTACTGGAAGAACAGAATGTATCCCTTCTGCTTCATAAATATGCTACTGAAACAATATCTGTACAGTCACTCTCCAAAATTTCCCAGAATTGAGGTACGCTCTGAGCTGTAGGTCCTTGTATCTATCTATCTATCTATCTAGAGACAGAGATCTGGTTTTGTTGCAAGACTCTGGTTGACCTCCGGAAGTGTTTTGTTTAATAATTGCTGCAGACATTGTGCTGGTAAGAGGAGCAATTGCCTTAAGGTGGCGACTGACTTGTAACATTTACTCGTAATGTAACATTCGCGGCGAGCATGTTACATTACACCACAACTGGTGAGGCGTATCGAATGCTCGTTTTGAACGCTCGGCTCGACTGTGCTCATGTGTGCTCCATTCATTTCATTCAATATGTCGGACGTGGAGGTTGTGTTATCTTTGTTTCATTTAATACGCTACTCTTATCTAAAGAACTCGTGAAAGCTCATACGACGCCGCTCGACTGACTGACTGACTTGTAATGTAACACTCAAAGGGATTCGCGAAAAAACCGACAACACGATGGAGCGCCCGCGAGCGTGAGCGGCTCCGTTCGCTGTCTTCACTTGTGTAATGCTCGATTTGTAACACGTTACATTACAGGCAAATGTTACAAGTCAGTCGCCACCTCTAGATGAGACAATGACAAGATGATATTTCACATGTAAACCAAGTCAGTCATTCACAAGTGTTTGTGAGATACACTAATAAACAATGTTGCTCGCTGAGAACTTTATAAAAGGAAATTCATGTTTTTAACATGTGTGTAAGTTGCACTGGCAGTATTTAAATCCACGTACACTAATCAAGTTCTATGTTTAGTATTTACGAAAAAAGAAAATTTGACTACATTCACTTTTAATGTAAAGAGGGGATGGGAAACTGCTAGTAGTTGGTCTGACTGGTCTTGTGTTGGC